TCAAGAAATCAAAAAGTGGTAAGTGTATAATGAGTTATACTAAAGTTCAGAACAACCAGATGCATAAGCATGAAAGAGGGGGAACTGACTTAAGGTAGGTCATGTGAAAAAGCCTAGCAGGGGCCAAAAGTGTGACACAATTGCACACATTTGGACTACAGCAGTAGTAGTCATCATAGCTAATATCCATTTGTTACCAAATTAGGCTGTATGGACTGCACTTGGGCCGGGCCCTAGCCCAGCCCAGGCCCCTGCCTCAGTGGGGAAGTTTCTTTTTCTGTTGGGGTTCATGCAGCCAAAAATGAGGTTGAAGCTGAGATCAAAGCTTTATTCAATGGCCAGAGAATAGAGACTTGGGAACTTAGGTCATAAATCAACTTCTTACCCAGGGGACGATTGAGGTAAGATTTTTAAGGGCAAGGTTAATGAGGGGAGGCATATGCAGTGCTTTTCTGGAAATAGGCAGGGTCTTCCTGGAACTGGGGCGCCACCTCTTTTCTACCCCTGTGTGGTCCTTTGGCACCTGTGTCAGAAGCAGTTGGAACCATCATGGCGTGGACAGGCGGAGATCTTACTCAGCCTGATTGGTGGTGAGGTAATCGGGAGTCCACATCATCAACCTTCTGCTTCCAACCCATCTGGGGTCTACGTGCTTGTGGTCAGCATGCAGTTAACTCCTTCCACCTGGTGGGGTCTTAGTATCTGCAAAACAGCTCAAAGGACGTGGCTCGGAATACTGTCTACAGCCCTGGAGGAGGACCTAAAGGCCCTTGACTTTAATGGTACAACTATTATTTTGTCTTGCTTGACCATTTTCCTTTGTTTCTGCATTTTCTCACTTCTCTGATTAAATTTATTCTTTGTAACTCAGGGAAGGCCTAGGAGGCTAAAGTTTTTGTACAAACAAGAGGCAGGTGGAGGACCTGAAGAAGTCTTTCCTGGGAAGGCCCCATAGAGTCCTGCTCGGTTACACGTTGAACGGTTACTCTGAGCCATGCACTGTTCTAAGCACTTCATAGGTATTAGCTCGTTTACTTCTCATGCACAACCTGTCAGGTGAGCCTATTTCCGTTTGATGGATGAGGAAGTTGAGGCCCAGGGCAGATAAATAGCTGACTCAATGTCAGGTGGTCAGTAAGTAGTGGAGCCTGAATTTGAGCACAGGGCTGGACACAGAACCACTCTTGTTATCAGTTCAGCTGCCTGAAACAATAAGCCTGTTTAATCCTGCTCTCTGAACTGGTCAGTCCATTTCTGGGGTGCTGCTGTGTGTGAGGGCACCACAAACCAAAGGGTGTCCCAAGACCAGGATGTGATAGGGCTGGAAACTCACTCCAGTGGTTGAAAAAACTGGGGCTCTTTAGCCAGAATTCTGAAAGAAACTTGCCTTGCAATATTTAAAAGCTATTATGTGAAAGAAGACTAAGAATTCTGTTTTGTAGTTACAGGGAAATTACAGGTTTAGGTTGACAGACATTTACAAAGTGCCTATATCTGGCCATGAACGCTCCTGGGGCTGAAGATTGAGAGATAAGTTAAAAAAAAAAAAAAGATATACTTCCTGTCCTGGAGGAACTCCCAGTCCAGATGGGGAGGGAGGGAACCCTGGGCTCCCCCAGACCTTTCTGAAGAGGTTAGCTTCTGGGCAGTGTACTGGGTTGCACGTGAAGCAGCAGGGGGCCTTCCCCTGGAAGTACACATGTAGGTCCCGAAACTCACCTGCCCAGACAACAAAGGCGATTTCCACAGTCAGGCGATTTCCACAGAGGTTGGGTTGGCTCTCAAGCCACAAACTGGTGATGAGAATATAAGCTCCAGGAAGATGGAATTTTGTTGGTTGTGTTCACTGTTACATTCCCAGGACCTAGGACAGGGCCTGGCACAGAGTGGGCGCTCAATTGTTGAACATTTAAACCAGGACATTTCACACAAAAACCTGCACTTGTTTGTTTTGAAAAATTGGAAGATTTGACAACAGTGGGCCCAGGTATTGGTGTGTGTGGAAGTGAGGGATACACTGGTGTTTAATATGCCACCGGTGCAGCTTCACTCAGTTACACTGTCTGGTCCTGGACTTTGTAGCCTCTGGGTTAATCACTGAAATCTCTACCAACTTTCTATGAAATCAAATTCTGTAGTTGAAATTTGGGTGCAGAGTTCCACAGTGGAAAATTTTTCTGTTGATTAACAAATTGCATTATTTGAATATCAAGAAAATTACCTACAATGACATTTTCATTACTTAATCAAGTCATTCAATATAAATATTATTACTGTCATAATGTTAACAGAAAATAGAAAAATTATTCTGACAGCATGGGAAGAGAATGTCTTTGCTTAAATGAGGATTTTAAAAATATATTAGCATAGTAAGAGGGAAGAGATATGGGAACATATGTATAACTGATTCACTTTGTTATAAAGCAGAAACTAACACACCATTGTAAAGCAATTATACTCCAATAAAGGTGTAAAAAATATATATATATATATTAGCATCATATACATTACATCATTATATATAGTTACACATAGATAATATATAACATATATTGGAAATTCTGATCTATTTTGGTAAATGAATCAGACATAAAAGGATTTTGCTACTATTTTTTTAAATTGTGAACTGTGTATCTCATGCAGAATATAGTGTAACTCCAGCAATAACTTTTGAACTCCAGGATCACAGAGAAGCAAAATTTAGAAACAAATGGTCACCTTAGCTAACAGTGGGGGGAACGTTTGAGCAATGTCTCAGAATGTAAAATATCTTGATAGAATCCTTTCTAGTCATCCGTTCATATGGAACCCAAGACAGAAACACACTTCTGGCATCACTGGAGTGTCACATGGAATTAAAATAAACCACTTCAATGTTGTTTTCTGGTTGGATAAGGATCATCCTTACTCTTATTAGTGCCATTCTCCACTGTTGAGAACATTCTACAATGTTGTCTAGGTAAAGTACAAATGCAGGACAAGGCTTATTTTATTTATTTATTTATTTATTTACTTATTTATTTTAAGGCTTATTTTAGATATCGAGTTTGTCTCTTCTTGTAGGTACATCCAGGGATAAAGTAGCCAAATGTTACACTTTGAATTCCATTAACCAAATGTAAAATAATAGAATATTTTCCATTTTCTTCATTCTTGAACATCAGTCCAACAGGGAATAAGGAGTTTTGCCAGTGAAGTTGGTTAGACATCCAACGTTTACCGTGTAGTCTCAGCAGTTCTTTCTTTTATGCAAGTTTATCGACAATTTTTTCTTGTTCTTTGCCAAGGTTTTTTTTTTTTTTTTTTTTTTTATCATGGAAGTACTGCTTTTATAAACTTATGGCCACCTTGGGGATGGGTGCTGGTAACTGCTAAATGCTAACAGACAAGTAGATGCTGCTCCTTTAACATGTCTTCCTGGAAAAACAGACATTCTCCCTCAGATACCTGCTTCCTAATATATACAACAGATAATGCAGCAAAATATTCAAGACTTCTTGGGTGACCTTCCAGGTTTTTCTCCTTGACTGATTTTCTTTCGCACTACGATCACTGCGATAAACTGCTTTAATAAAAACTTATCCACTTAGGAAAATCAGAGAGCCCAAACCATAAACCCAATTGGAGTCAGAATGACTATGAAGATGTCAGCAGTTAAAAACAATGTTCCCTTTTAACAATAATAGATTCATCCTTCCCCACTACCCCAAGAAGGGTTTTAACACTGACTTGCTGTGCTTATCAATGTGAAAATGTTCTGATCCCTGGGAAATCATCTTCTGGAACGCAGGAAATAAAAGTGCCCAATTCTGAATGTCTGCAATAGCTGAGATAACACAGAGTCGCCGATTGCTAGTCGTTGGAGCCAGAAGTTAAACTGCATCCAAGATGCTAGGATATTGGCTCTGCGTTCTGCTTTACAGAAATAGAACTTTATCGACGGGAAAACACCAGGATATGTAACATAAAAAGAGACTTGGTCAAAATTACTCCATTTCATACACATAATGTTCATGTAAAAATAAAAACTTCCAAATATTTTTGATACAGAAAATAAAATATATATCAAGCATTAACTTTCAATGAGGTTTCCCTTTTTACCTCCTTGGTACAGGTTTCAAGATGTAAGTAAAATGCAAACGAGTACATACACACCCCCAGTATATAAATGGTGACACATATATGAAGTATTTTCCTGAGAAAATGCAAAGATGCAAGAGAAGTTTTCATGTAGGGCTCAGACAATCTGTCATAAAGACAAAAGGTCCCCAGTGGAAGAGTTTGTTTTCATGCAAAAAACCTGGCAGGAGAAGAGGAATGCAACTCTTGGGGTTGGATTGGCAGCCTGTGAGCTCCCTTAAAGCCCCGAAGTTTATCATTCTCTGAATTAATTCTTCCAGTGAGTCCTCCCAGAATTACGTAAACTGTTCCTGAGGGACATTTTGGAAAGTTGTATTTATTCTTTTAGGCCACCAGCAGAATATAAAAGAACGCAGTTCTCGAGAGCTGACCATGAGCATATATCCATTAGCTAAGCAAGGAACCTAAAACAATGGGCTTTTCTAAAACTTCACCATACCGAGGAGACATAAAGTCACCGAGGTCATCAAAAGGACAGTTGAGGGGGCTTCCCTGGCGGCGCAGTGGTTGAGAATCTGCCTGCTAATGCAGGGGACACGGGTTCGAGCCCTGGTCTGGGAAGATCCCACATGCCGCAGAGCGGCTGGGCCCGTGAGCCGCAACTACTGAGCCTGCGTGTCTGGAGCCTGTGCTCCGCAACAAGAGAGGCCGCGATAGAGAGGCCCGCGCACCGCGATGAAGAGTGCCCCACCCCCGGCCCCACCGCTTGCCACAACTAGAGAAAGCCCTCGCACAGAAATGAAGACCCAACACAGCCAAAAAAAAAAAGGACAGTTGATTAATATTGTGACTCTTTAAAATGAAACATTTTTCATTAAAAAATCTTGGCCCCTACATTTTATTTATTTATTTTTTTTCAGTATTTTTAAAACAAGCTCTGGCCAGTTTTATTAAAGAAAAATTGTGCATGATTTACTTTTCACCAGTCTGTTCTGGCATGCTTCTAATGATATCAGAATCACCTGGATCAATGATAGCAAGTGTGCATACTCTGTAGTATTTTCCACACGCTGTGCCCAATTCAATATTATTGCCACTGTAGTGATGGACACCAGTTTTGGCCAACATGGCATAATACTCTATTTCAGATTTCCTCAAGGCTGGGCAGTTGTTGGCGAGGATGACCAGTTTCGCTTTGCAGTGTCGGATCATTTTCAGAGTCTGCTTGTACCCCAGCACGTACTTTCCACTTTTCATAACCAGTTGGAGCCTAGAGTTGATCGACTCCAGTGACTTTTTCGTCTTCTTTGCGGCCACCATCTTCCTGCCTTAGGCGCGGGACGCCCCCAGCCCACTGCAGCCAGCCCCTACATTTTAGAAAGCACTTCCCATAGTCACAGTCTTTCTTGCCCTCTATTTCTACCTCCACACATACACACTGGGGCATGATTCCCAAGCTCCTCAACATTCATTCCTATCCTCCATCAGGGATCTTAAAACCCTGAACAAAAGCAGAGTGAAAGAATGGATGGGGTGAATCAGAGAAGACTCTAAATTCTTTTATTTAGCTGTAAGCAAGTAAGAGTGCAACAGAATTTCTATTGGTGTATGAATGCTCCCAACATGTTCTTAAACAACAGAAAAACATGGAATGCTCAATTCAATGGAGAATCAGCCGGCGAAAGCATTTCAATAGAGTGAGAGAATCACAATGTTTCTGTTCTACTATAAGTAAATTATTTTAAAGTACATTTGACATTTTAAAGGTGTACAAATTCAGATGTTTTTAGAAACTTGAAAACCCACAGACAGAGTTTAGGAAGTCGAAGGCTGTGAACTTCCCTCCTTATTTAATCCAGGCTTTGTTTTGCATTCCTCACAGGTAAGCAGGCAGTGCCTAAAACAGAAGCAAAAATGTTGGTTTGTACTTTGACACTGGAAGCTCTAGTCTGAACACAATATTATTTAGAGATTTTGTTTTAAGTTTTAATTGATGTATAGCTAATTTACAATGTTGTGTTACTTTCTGGTGTACAGCGAAGTGATTCAGTTATATGTATACATACATTTATATATATTCTTTTTCATATTCTTTTCCATTATGGTTTATTACAGGCTATTGAATATAGTTCCCTGTGCTATACAGTAAGACCTTGTTGTTTATCTATTTTATATATTGTAGTGTGTATCTGTGAATCCCAAACTCCCAATTTATCCCCGCCCCCTTTCCCCTTTGGTAACCATAAATTTGTTTTCTATGTCTGTGAGTCTGTTTCTCTTTTGTAAATAAGTTCATTTGTATCATATTTTAGATTATTTAGAGGTATTTTCTAAGCTAAAGTTCTCAAGCCTAATTTTTTTCAGGAATTATCAGAGCTGTGTCTTGGTTTCAGACTCCCCAAATTTCTTCCACAAAAAGGCCATTAATGATTTTCCTGCCCAATGTTGTTTTCACCATGTTGTGCTGCATCTCAAACAGAATCCACTGTGACAAGTAAGGGCTCTTTACAGAAATGTGTCCCCAACGCTAGTCTTATAATACCGTGGTAGAAATAGCTATTATTTACTGAGCTCTCACTGAGTGTCATGAACAATCATTTCTATTCCTTACACCATCCCATGAAAAAAATTCTGATCACCATATTATACAAATGAGAAAACTGAAGATTTGAGAGTTTAAGAAACTTGTCCAAGGTCACGCAGCTTAGTAAGTTAGCAGTTAGAACCCCCTTTGATCCCAGCGACTCTTAACAGCAGAGGTAATGCCGCTTACTCCAGAGTCCTACTGCTTGTATCCCCTAATGAGAATCATGATTTATATTAATATAGTAAAGGCTCTGAGAAGTCCTGCAGTCAAGAGCCCTGGTTAAATTTGCGTAACCCCGTGACGGTAGAAGCTGTGTCTGCTGATCAAGGCATTCTTTAGAGACTTGTACAATGCTTTGAACATAGTAGGTACTTACTAAATGTTCGGTGAGCAAATGAACTAGGTAACCCAGATAAATCATAATTATTATTGAAGTTGAATAGCAACAACTCAAACTTTGAGGTTTTTTTCAACATATGAATGTTAAAAACTATTTTAATATTGTAAATGGTGAATGATCTTTCATTTACTTTTTAATAATTATCTTTATTACAATCCCTTAATCAAACAGAGTACAGGGCTTCCCTAGCGGCGCAGTGGTTAAGAATCCACCTGCCAATGCAGGGGACACAGGTTCGAGCCCTGGTCCGGGAAGATCCCACATGCTGTGGAGCAACTAAGCCCGTGTGCCACAACTACTGAGCCCATGCACCACAACTACTGAGCCTGTGCTCTACAGCCCACGAGCCACAACTACTGAGCCTGTGTGCCTAGAGCCCGTGCTCCGCAAAAAGAGAAGCTACCGCAATGAGAAGCCCACGCACTGCAACGAAGAGTAGCCTCCGCCTGCCGCAACTAGAGAAAGCCCGTGCACAGCAACAAAGACCCAACGCAGCCAAAAATAAATAAATATATTTATTTAAAAAACTCCAGAAAAGCAGAGTACAAACCTGTTATGCCCTGGACCAAAACCAGCCCCACGCAGCTGACCTTCAAAGGAATGGAATTTACTCTGGCATACTCTTATGTATGATGCCTTTCCAAGGCCAAATCCCAAGATACCAGCAACTGTAAGAGCAGGTTAGGAAAGATAAATAATTTAAAGGTTTGGAATCTTCTCCATTAATGGACTTCTAGAACTTTATTAACAGCAGTAATTCTTATATCAAAAGTACCCTGATGAATCAATGAACAAAATCTCTGGGAATGAAGTTCCCTATTAAAGAGCAGGATTGGGAACTGGAGACTTTTGATCTCCTCAGTTTTGAACTGGAGGTAGAAGGGCCGGGATAGAGCAAGCAAGGGTGATGCCCAGACAGGGGCAGCCAGAGGGAAGCCCAACTGGCAAACAAATCTCTGAAGCCTTGGGGAGGGAGAGATGGGACTTGGGTTGTGGCTCTAGGTAGCCTCCAAATCACTGGGTAGGAGAGCCCCTTAATTTTCTTTATGGATCGGAGTATGGGGAGCTGCAGTCCATCTTGTGTGTCAGGGAGGAAGGTCACGAGGCAGAACCATGGAAGACATTTTCAACCTGCTATTCTTGCTAGGAATGAGGTTTCAGATCATAAACCGGAATATGTCCTCTGTGTACATAAAAGGTCTATGGATAACCAGTATAAGAAGGTGAAACCCTACGTTTACGGTAAATGTACTATCAGAAAGCCCTGATTTAAAAAAACTATTCGTTTGTTATGTCCGTTATAGAAAATATTTGGAAAAGACTGGCCAAAAGAAGAAAATTAAAATCTCTCATGGAGCTATCATTCAGAGACTCTGCTGTCGATGTCCTCTTGTTATCCTGCCAGGCCCTCCTAGTTCATGATTTAGAGAGGACTAAGGTGAAGTCCCTACTGCTCAGCTTTCCATCAGAAAGTATCGAACGAACTAAAAACTGCAAGGTGGCAAAAAATGGCGACTGGTTTTTCAGAGAGTCAATACAGGCAATTTGGTTAACCTGGACATTCCTATCTCCATTTGCTATAAACATCTTCTTTTTAAAAAATGAAACATTTTTTTGGCCTCTCCCGTTGCGGAGCACAGGCTCCGGACGCACAGGCTCAGCGGCCATGGCTCACGGGCCCAGCCACTCCGCGGCATGTGGGATCCTCCCAGACCGGGGCACGAACCCGTGTCCCCTGCATCGGCAGGCGGACTCTCAACCACTGCGCCACCAGGGAAGCTCAAAAAATGAAACTTTTTTTTTTTCCTTCTATGACTTACGTGCAACTTTAGGCAATGATCCAAATCTTGGATTAGCTGCTAAATAACCTAAGAAGTAATGTATAAATGCATTATTATTTCATTTTATAACTTATTTAAATTTATAAAGTATAAGAAGTCTTCAGGGTTTAAGATATACACATTCTTAATCTAAAGAGATGATCTTAAAAGAGATAATTCAAATCTTGATTGAATTTAACTCTCAAATAGTAGTCATTTTTGGCAAGTAACAAGTAATGGCTTTGATGTATAGAAAAAGAACATGAAACAGACAATTCATGATGTATTTAAAGATATCAAGGCAAGGTGGAGATAACAACTTAGTTCTAAGCAATTAGTCATTGCCCCCTCCCCTTTTAAAGTAACTCAACACACAGTTTCAATTTAGAGATTCACAGTATATATAATCACAATTTTATTTATTTTTGTTTGTTGTTTTTAAGATTTTTTAAAATTAATTTTTATTGGAGTATAGTTGCTTATAATCACAATTTTAAAATGAAAGCATTTCCACCTATGGTGGGCAGAATAATGGATGTTCCTACAGATGTTCCCATCCCAATCCCTAGAAACTGTGAATACATTACCCTACACAACAAAAGGGAATTAGGGTGGAAAATGGAATTAAGGTGGCTAATCGGATGACTTTAAAATAGAGAGATTATCCTGGATTATTTGGGTGGGCCCAATGTAATCACGATGCCCCCTGAACATGGAAAAAGGATTCAGAGACAGAACCAGACAGACGGCAGTAGGGGAACTTGGCTCCACGTTGCTGGCTCTGCAGACAGAGGAAGGGACCATGTGCCAAGGAATGTGGGTGGGTTCCAGAAGCTAGAAAGGGAAAGGAAGCCCTAGAGCCCCCAGAAAGGAATGCAGCCCTGCTGACACTTTGATTTCAGCTCAGAAAGACCCATTTTGGACTTCCGACCTTCAAGACCGCAAGCTAATAAATTTGTATTGTTTTCAGCCACTATGTTTGTGGAAATTTGTAGAAAAGTAATACACAACCTGGAAAAACATATTTGTACAGGGCTTCCCTGGTGGTGCAGTGGTTAAGAATCCGCCTGCCAATGCAGGGGACACGGGTTCGAGCCCTGGTCCAGGAAGATCCCACATGCTGCAGAGCAACTAGGACTGTGCACCACAGCTACTGAGCCTGCGCTCTAGAGCCCATGAACCACAACTACTGAGCCCGTGTGCCACAACTACTGAGCCTGCGCGCCTAGAGGCCGTGCTCTGCAACAAGAGAAGCCACCACAATAAGAAGCCCGTGCAAGCAGCGAAGAGTAGCCCCTGCTCTCTGCAACTAGAGAAAGCCTGCGTGCAGCAACCAAGACCCAATGCAGCCAAAAATAAATAAATAAATAAATATTTTTTAAAAAGAGAAAATAAAATAAAATAATTTTAAAAATATATATTTGTACAGATGTAAGAGATGGTAGATTTTGAGCAAGTAGTTTAATATTCATAAAACATAATCCCTATACATAGATGTCATGGCCATATTTGTTTTTCTGTGTCAAAAATGTTCTGAAAAAGGCTTATCACTGACTAATATATTTCCACAAAAAGACTATCTTCAAGTTATAAAAATGAAATCATATTTAATAAATCAACTTTAAAGACAGCACTAATACTGACTGAAATGAGATTCTTCTAGATATATGACATGTGGTCTTTCAGACCCCAAAAGAGCAAAGCATCTTTCCTCATGTTTGCTGGGTACAAGTACTCTCTAAACTCCTAGTAATCAGCAGTGTTCAGTATAATGGGCTTCCACAGGGTCAGGTGCCTTCTTGCTGTCTGGGGACTAAGCAATGCTTATAGGTTCTCTGGTTGGATAGAGTTGGGGAGAAAGAAGAGAGCAAAAAACAAGGAATAGAGGGGAACAATGGACAGTGCTAAGAGGCACGGAGAGGTTATGTGGATGACGCAGGGCGGCCATCAGTCCTCATGATCTGCTGTACACGGGTGCCCCTCCTGAGGCAGATGCAGCCTCTCTCCAGGACAAATGGCTTGGTGTTCAGAGCTTGGGTGAATTTCAGCCCCATTTACCTCTTCCCTGGAGCACCCTTGTGCAGGGAAGTATCTGTCTAACCATATACCAAGGCCCTAGGAGACACAGGGACTCTGGTACAGAGACAGGCACTGCAATAGTTTCCTGGGGCTGCCGTAATAAATTACTACAAACTCAGTGGTTTAAAACAACACAGACTTGGGAATTCCCTGGCAGACCAGTAGTTAAGACTCTACGCTTCCACTGCAGGGGGCACGGGTTTGATCCCTGGTCAGGGAACTAAGAACTCATGTAGCGTAGCCAAACCCCCCCCCCCCAAAAAAACCCACACAAATTTAATACATTACAGTTCTGGAGGTCAGCAGCTCAAAATGGGTCTCACTGGGTGTTTTAGTCCATTCGAGCTGCTATAACAAAATACCACAGATTGGGTGGCTTATAAAACAGCAGACATTTATTTCTCACTGTTCCGGATGCTGGAAGTCCAAGATCAGCGTGCTGGCATGGTTGACTTCTCATTCTATCCTCACGTGGTGGAAGGGGCCAGGTCCCTCTGTGGGGTCTCTTTTGTAAAAGCACTAACCCCCTTCATGAGGGCTCCACCCTCATGCCTTAATCACCTGCAAAGGCCCCACCTCCTAATAGCATCGCCTTGGGCTTTAGAATTCCAATCTGTGAATTTGGGGTGGGCGGGGGAATACAAATATTCAGACCATAGTACAGGGCTACATCAAGGCATCAACAGAGCTGCAAGCCCTTCTGAAGGCTCTAAGGTTTCTTCCTTTCCAGCTTCTGGAGGCCACTCATTGCTTGACTCATGGCCCCTTCCTCCATCTTCAAACTCAGGAATGTTGAGCTGAGTCTTTCTCATGCTGCCATCTCTCTGGCTCTGTCTTCTGATCCACTGTCACTTTCAAGGACCCTTCTGATTATATTGGGCCCATCTGGATTAATGACCTTAATTCCAACTGCAAATTTAATTTCTCTTTGTCACGGTCACTCATTCCAGGAAATAGGACATCTATGGGAGGGAGAGCTGGGGACGTAGGCTAGAAACAGGCAAAAGCCCGCATAAATAAATTCTTCACCAAAAAATAAATGCCAAGTACCAAAACCCGCCAGGAGGACCCCAGAAAACTGGATTCTCTTAAGTTAAACTACGTATCAAATACTGAATCTTATCATGGTGGACCAGTCCTTGGGTGACAAGCATGCTTACAAGAGAAAAAGGCAGAGCTGTAAAACAGAAACGCCCTTCAATATTGGTATTTGAAAACTTGGCCCCTCACCTAGAAGAATGAGGGAGAATTACTCTGAGTGTTTTCTCTTCCTGCTTTGGCAGTGAGATTTTAGTCATTTTTTATTTTACTAATTTGACAAATATTAAGCACCGCATGGAGAATTTTCTTGGGGTCTGCCCCAGGCACTCAACCTAATGCACAGCATTAATGTGACAAAACCTAGATCCCCTGCCACTCCGTCTCTGAGACCCACCATGCACCGGATTCTGACCACTACATACAACACAGGCATCTTCATGTGTGTGCGCTGAGCTGGGGAATTTGGGAGTTTCCATTCGCTACATATTTTGAAATTTTCAATCCTGCATGAAAGTTAAAAAAAGAGGACGATAAACTGCACACCCTATCTACTATAGTTCCCTGCTTTTGTCTTTTATGACATTTTGTCACACAATTTGGATACGTTTATTTTCTGAAGATTACTACATTCGAGGTAAACATGGGCCATGTTTAGAGATGATTTTTATCTCTAAACAGGCAAGTTAGTCCAGAAAAGGAAGTTTCTAGTTCTGTCAAAATGTGTCAATGTGCTTTCTTCCCAAAGCACAGAGAAGTGATAAAAAAAATTGGTTGCTATTTGATTTGTCTTGGTTGCTAGCTCTTCCTAGTAATCAAGACAAATCAAATAGCAACCAATTTTTCCACTCAGAGCTATCTACCTGATGGTAGGCAAATGGGTCATACTGAAATGTTAAACTACTAGGGCTTAAATAAATTACTCACTCATAAGTTGTCAGAAAATTTCTAGCAGCACAATCAATAAGAAGTAATGAACAGTGAACATCAACTTCTAAGGAGTGTTACTTCCAAAAACAACTGATACTGGATTTGAATGATTTAAGAAATCAAAATGAGTATTTCAAAGTAAAATTATCCCTATGCCAGCAATATTGGGACTATATCTATAGGCTCTATTATGACATTTTCAAGTGACAAGTCACGAATTTTCAAAATTAAACGGGACTTTAATGCACAGCCTCAGTTCACACCCTTGTCTCATATAAAGCAGGCCCAGAAAGAGGAAGCGACTTGGCAGAAAAGGTTACTTCAAGACATTGTAAGGGAAGTATTAACAGAATGCTGCCACTCTTCATTCATTCCACGAATATTTAATAGGTACTTTTTATATGTGAAGCAGTGTGCTTGGCTCTGGGAGGGAGCAATGAACCTGAACTTGATGAAGGTTAGAGTCCAGTGGAATTGTGGAAAGTCTACTCTTTCAAGAAATTCTAAATAACACTCTTGGTACACATTCTCGGTCACATGAAAGAAAGTGTTAGGTGTGCATCACTTTTTGCTAAGGGGGGTAAACAGCTCCTAAATCAGATATTATCCCTGACCTTAAAAGGGTCTCAACATGGACTTAAATTCCAAGTAGCCTCAGGTATCAGTGTCTTCAGGGAATTATGCAAAGTCCCTGCTCAAAAATAAATCAATACCATAATTCTAATATGATATCAGGCAGTTTATTGCAGCAAAAACAGTGTTGACAAAGATTAAGAGGGATGCAATTACCTCTCTTCCAGAAACTTTCTTCTTGACATTCCCGGATAATCTTTGAAATCTCTGATTTGCGGATGTGCAGTTTTGATTTTGGACAAAACAACAGACTCTGCAAGGAAAGTTACGTGATGACTTGACTGAAATCATCAGAAGAGCATCTGCTCTGTCTTCCCTAGAGGAGGGCAAGGAGGTCTCTTCACTCTGGTCACACAGTGTGCGTTCTTTCCCGCTGCCAGCACTGAGCAATGGCCAGTTTCAGCCAGTGCTTTCCATCTGTGAACGATGGGTGGACTTAACCAAGAAAAGAATCACAGGTGAAGAAGCAGAGTGATTCAGTGACTAGTGAGCATGAAGCAGATATCGGGTCAGAATGCATTACTGCTGAGGTCACATTTTCTTTCTTACTTCCAGTCTCTGTCTATGCAGTCCCTGTCCCTGCAATGACACTCACTCCCTTTGCCTACCTGGTCTTCTTAAGACCCAGTTCAAGATCTCCTCCTGGGTGAAGAGAGAGACTTCCCCTACAGCATAATATTGACACATCTGGGATCACACTCAGAGCAGTATTACAAGTTATCTATTTATAGATCTGTATTCCAATTTACCTATTTATACTTCTATAAGCATTTTTAGACCGTGAGAAACTATAGTCTAAAAAGCATCAGCAGACTGCTTTTTATTTTTCTACATAGTTTACTTTTTATCTTAACGGTTTTTTTTTAACACATTTATAAATGGTCTGCACATATCTGGGGGAACTATTGACATGGTTGACATTATTTTTTATTAGTTCTTCAGTACTTTTCTTTATCATGTTGATGTGCTACGATCTGGACTAGCTCCCATCTTTTATTATCCTCCCCTTTTGTAGGTATGTATGTGGTTATTCACTTACTCTCACCCACATTCTCCATCCTTGTTCTCTGCCCATCACTGCCATTCTGGGTGTTTAATGTGGATCTTTTGTTTGTATATATGCTTGCAAAATGTTCATTGTTTTGGGTGCCTGCATTTTTTAATGCAAATGGCATTGTTTTATACATTTAGTTTTATTATTAAAAATGTTTTCAACTCAGTTCTACACTTTTAAGATCTATCCATGTTGCTATATTTATCTAGTCCACTGTTTCTAACTGCGGCATGATTCTCCAGGACGCTTCTGAGTCCCCATCTCCAAATGTCCCCTTACAGACCCACATGAGAACGCTTTTCAGATATGTATCTAGAAGTAAAATACAGGGCATGCATATTCCAGTTGAACAAAGTCTTGCGAGAGTGCTCTCCCCAGTGGCTACACCAGCATCCACTCCCAGCGTGTGAACATTCCTCTATATGCCTAAGAACCGCATACGAGCTAGTTAAGCTGGATTCCAAGCAGGTTAGAGTAAAGAAAGGATTTTGTAACACTTGGCATTATCCAGTTTTCTAAAATTTAACAGTCTAATAGGTATAAAGCAATATTTTATTGTCTGATAACTAATGTGTTTGAGCATCTCTATGTAGTCTTCAGCCAGACTGTCCTTCTCTGTTGAGGCAATCCCTGCAACTAGACCTCTGTTGTAATCCTTTCTTGTTCAGTGACTCATTAATTTTTTATTGTGGTAAAATACACATAACATAATAGTTACCATTTTATATATTTTTTCATCCTCCCATACACTTTTTTTTTTCATTTTATATTGGAACATAGTTGTTTTACTATGTTGTGTTTAACCATTTTAAAGTATACAATTCACGGCATTCAGTATATTTACAATGTGTGCAGCCATCACCGCTATCTAGTTCCAGAGCTTTTTCATCACCCCAAAAGGAAATTCCATACCCAGTAAGGAGTCTGTCCTCGTTCCCTCCTCTCTCCAACTGCCTAGCAACCACTAATCTGCCTTTTGGATTTGCCTATTCTGGGTATTTGGTACAAACAATATCATACAGCATGTGACCTTTCGTGGCTGGCTTCTTTTCCTTTGCATAATGTTTTCAAGATTCACCCACGTGGTAACATGTATCCGTATTTCATTTCTTTTTATGGCTCAATAATATTCCATTGTATGAATATAACACATTTTGTTTCTCCATTCATCCACTGATGGACATTTGGATTGTTTCCACCATTGGCTATTGTGAATAATGCTGCTATGAACATTCCTGCACAAGTTTTTGTTTTCAGCTCTGCTGGGCCATACTGCAACTCTACGTTTAACTTTTTGAGTTTTGCACAGGAGCTGCACCATTTTCTAATCCCACCAACAATGTAGGAGATTTCCAATTTTTCCACATCCTTGTCAACATTTGTTATTTTCTGTTTTGTTTCTTTTTTTTGGCTCTGCCATCCGGCTTACAGGATCTTAGTTCCCTGACCAGGGACTGAACCCACGTGTTTTGTTTTTTTTTTTTAAATTAGCACTTTAAATGTTTTTAATATAAATTATTCAACTTATTTAAACTAAATAAACTAAATTCTTTCTGTTTTTGACTGTGGTCATGCTAGTGATTGTGAAATGGTGGTTTTGATTTGTATTTCCTTAATGACTAATGACATTGAGCATCTTTTCATCTGAATATTGGCTATTTATATATCTTCTTCGGAGAAACACCTATTCAAGCCCTTTGCTCATTTTTCAATTGGGCTGTCTTTTTGTTATTGAGTTGTAAGAGCTTTTTATATACTCTGGATACTAGACCCTTTTCAGATATATGATTTGTAAATAATTTTTCCCATTCTGTGGGTGGTTCATTTGTTTCTTAGAAACAACATTTATTTAATTTTTTCCTTAAGTCACACTGCTATTTCCTTGTTTGTGAATTACTTATGTAGGTCCTCTGCCATTCATCTCTCGGAGTTTTAGTGTTTTTCTTGTTGAGGTGCAGTTCCATGGCTTTTGAAGTTCACCTTGCTGATTTTGCAAATGTTCTTTTTTGACTCTTTGTTTGTAGTAGATGTCAATGTGAACGGTGATCACTATTTCCTGAGCACTCGCGCACACGCCAGGCACTGTGCCAAGCACTTTACGTGCATGATGGTGACATGCAAGGATCCTGTGGCACCTGTGCCTTCAGAGCTCTACAAACAGCCCAAGCAGGCAACCTCCCTCTTCTTCCTCTACAACTCCCCATAGCACAGCACACGGAAGTGGTGGTCAGGGTGAGTCACAGTGACCAGGGAAGAATCTGGTCACCACTTACGTTAGCTCAACAAGCACTCTTCCTCATCCCAGTGTAAATACTTCTTCTTGGTTCTGCCTGTGGCTGTGGCAGAAATAAGCAACACCTCCCTCCCTCTCCTCCTGCGAAACACACACACATATACACATCCATGGGCAGGGACCCCAACTATCACAACTGCTGTGAGTCCCGCAGTCAAGACTTAAGCTCCTGCAGTGTCCCCAGGGAGCTCTGGTGAGCCTTTTCGGTAGAACCATAAATGTTTTATGGCTCTCCATTTCACAGAGGCAACTCGGGTGCCTAAATTCCTTATGATGTGATATCATTTGTCTATTTGCCTCTCCTAAACTTTGTTCCTTAAATATCATCTCCTCCATAACCCATTTTTAGCTTGAAAAGGTTGACTCCAGAGAACATGAACTCTACTATCCCATCACGACACTTTCTCTTTTCTTCACTTATGTGTCCCTGAAACAAACAGTATTCATTCTCAAGAAGTTGAAAAACTGTGTCCCTGTTAACACTGAGGTTCTCAATCTGATGCCTAATTTAGTAGTTAAGGACTCTGCCATCCCAAACAGGAACACCTGTCAGCAGCATATCCTTAGTATGATTAGCCTTGATAACAGAAATGAAAAAACATGCATCCTGTAGCATTCTGTGAGATTCAATTAAGAGTTTTGTTCTGGTAAAGGAAACCTCTTCAGTCACTGACAACCTATGGAAGAGTTAGTTAAGCTGAATTCTACACAGGGAAGAGTAAAGGAAGGATTTTGTAAATAATTGAAAAGGCTCCTTTTCAAGGCAGCCAAAAACACACTTTCCTTCCCCATTCTATTTTCCCTGAACCCATCCTACAAAGTGCCAGACAGAAAAAACTAAGATGACTGATCAAGGATGAGGTTTAAGGGAAGTCCCGTATGATGTTCCTCTTTAGATGGCAGACTTTCAAATTAGAAATATACCTGCTTGCTTGGTGGTGGCAAATGGGGACCTTTATCTTGGTTTTCATGCGTAGACACTGAAGCCATGATGACTTTGTCTTTGCTTCTCTTCTAGTTGAGTGGACTCAGCTTCCTCATTTGACCCGATGTCTAAGGAAAGTAGAAGAGAGTCACCATGCCATGACTGAACATTTATGTCAACCGTAAAAACACCCTTAGGACCAACTCCCCTATTTGGCGACCTTATTTTCATTTTGTCAGTCACCTTCATCTCCAGCCACCTGCAAACTCACTTTCTAATGCTCCTCCTCTACCAACACACACATTAACTGACTAATGGTGACAGATCAGAGGAAGAGTGGAGTGAGATGTCACCTGAGGCACAGTGAAATGTTTTATGAACTATAAACTGTCCTCAAAAAATTTCAATTCATTACAAGGTCATTAGCTACACAAATATTTACTGTCTATTATGTGCCAGGCCAAGGGATACAAAGGATAAGACAAAATCAGTGCTAAAGGAACTCACAGGGGAAGACAGACAAGTCAGCAGTTACACAACATGCAAAGGGCTTCCCTAGAGGCATGCACATGGTGCTAAGGAAGAAAGGCTTGTTCTCTCTGGTCAGGTCTGAAGACACCAAAGACCAAGATTCTTGAGCTTTCAAAAGGGTCTGTGGGGCTACTGGAACGTCACACCGGCCTCTGCTACCACAGGCTCACCCTGCATTCCATACCCCTCCCCGCCCCCCTGGGCCTGAGCGAGCCAGAGCCCCCGAATCAGCTGCTCCTTTAACCCCGTCCTGTCTGAGCCAAGAACAGACGCCCTCAGGCGACCTGCATGCAGAGGCGGGGCCAAATCCAAAGCTGAACCCCAGGAGCTGTGCGAACAAAGAACAGAAAGGGAAATCTCTCCCAGCAGCCTCAGGAGCAGTGGATTAAATCTCCACAATCAACTTGATGTACCCTGCATCTCTGGAATACCTGAATAGACAATGAATCATCCTAAATTGAGGAGGTGGACTTTGGGGGCAACTGTAGACTTGGGGTTTGCTTTTTGCATCTAATTTGTCTCTGATTTTATGTTTATCTTAGTTTAGTATTTAGAGTTCATTATCACTGAAAGATTTGTTTATTGATTTCACTGCTCTCTCTTTTTTTTAATATATATATATTTTCCTTTTTCTCTTTTTGTGTGTATGTGTATGCTTCTTTGTGTGATTTTGGCTGTATAGGTTTGCTTTTACCATTTGTCCTAGGGTTCTGTCTGTCCGTTTTTTTGTTTGTTGTTGTTGTTTTTATAGTATACTCTTGTTATTGTTGGTGGATTTGCACTTTGGTTTGGTTGCTCTCTTCTTTCTTCTTTTTAATTACTTTTTAATTTTTAATAATTTTCTTTATTTTTTATTTTAATAACATTATTTTATTCTTTCTTTCTTTCTTTCTCTCTTTCAATCTTTCTTTCTTTCTCCCTTTTCTTCTGAGCCATGTGGCTGACCGGTGCTCTGGCCGGGTGTCAGGCCTGTGCCTCTGAGGTGGGAGAGCTGAGTTCGGGACATTGGTCCACCAGAGACCTCCAGGCTGCACATAATATCAAACGGTGAAAGCTCTCCGAGAGATCTCCATCTCAACGCTGACCCAGCTCCACTCAATAACCAGCAAACTACAGTGCTGGATGCCCTATGCCAAACAACTAGCAAGACAGGAACATAACCCCACCCATTAGAAGAGTCGCTGCCTAAAATCATAATAAGGCCACAGACACCCCAAAACACACCACCAGACATGGTCCAGCCCACCAGAAAGACAAGATCCAGCCTCATCCACCAGAACACAGGCACCAGTCCCCTCCACCAGGAAGCCTACACAACCCACTGAACCAAACTTACCCACTGCGGGCAGACACAAAAAACAGGAACTACAAACCTGCAGCCTGCAAAACAGAGACCCCAAACACAGTAAGTTAAGCAAAATGAGAAGACAGAGAAACACACAGTAGATGAAGGAGCAAGGTAAAAACCCACGAGGACAAACAAATGAAGAGGAAATAGGCATTCTACCTGAAAAAGAATTCAGTGTAGTGATAGTAAAGATGATCCAAAATCTTGGAAATAGAATGGAGAAAATATAAGAAACATTTAACAAGGACCCAGAAGAACTAAAGAGCAACCAAACAATGATGAACAACACGATAAATGAAATTAAAAATTCTCTAGAGGGAAACAGCAGAATAACTGAGGCAGAAAACGGATAGTGAGCTGGAAGATGAAATAGTGGAAATAACTACTGCAGAGCAGAATAACGAAAAAAGAATGAAATGAATTGAGGACAGTCTCAGAGACCTCTGGGACACCATTAAATGCAACAACATTCGAATTATAGGGGTCCCAGAAAAAGAAGAGAAAAAGAAAGGGACTGAGAAATTCTTGAAGAGGTTATAGTTGAAAACTTCCCAAAATAGTCAATCAAGTCCAGGAAGCACAGAGAGTCCCATACAGGATACATCCAAGGAGAAACACGCCAAGACACAGATTAATCAAACTATCAAAAATTAAATACAAAGAAAAAATATTAAAAGCAGCAAGGGAAAAACAACAAATAACATACAAGGGAATCCCCATAAAGTTAACAGCTGGTGTTTCAGCAGAAACTCTACAAGCCAGAAGGGAGTGGCAGGACATATTTAAAGTGATGAAAGGGAAAAACCTACAGCCAAGATTACTCTACCCAGCAAAGATCTCATTCAGATTCAATGGAGAAATTAAAACCTTTACAGACAAGCAAAAGCTAAGAGAATTCAGCACCACCAAACCAGCTCTACAACAAATGCTAAAGGAACTTCTCTAGGCAGGAAACACAAGACAAGTAAAAGACCTACAGTAACAAACCCAAAACAATTAAGAAAATGCTAATAGGAACATACATATTGATAACTACCTTAAATGTAAATGGATTAAATGCTCCAACCAAAAGACATAGACTGGTTGAATGGATACAAAAACAAGAGCCATATTTATGGTGTCTACGAGAGACCCACTTCAGACCTAGGGACACATACAGACTGAAAGTGAGGGGATGGAAAAAGATATTCCATGCAAATGGAAATCAAAAGAAAGCTGAGTAGCAATCCTCATATCAGACAAAATAGACTTTAAAATAAAGACTATTACAAGAGACAAAGAAGGACACTACATAACGATCAAGGGATTAATCCAAGAAGAAGATATAACAATTGTAAATATTTATGCACCCCACATAGGAGCACCTCAATATATAAGGCAAATGCTAACAGCCATAAAAGGGGAAATTGAGAGTAACACAATCATAGTTGGGGACTTTAACACCCCACTCTCACCAATGGACAGATCATCCAAAATGAAAATAAATAAGGAAACACAAGCTTTAAATGATACATTAAACAAGATGGACTTAATTGATATTTATAGGACATTCCATCCAAACACAACAGAATACACTTTCTTCTCAAGTGCTCATGCAACATTCTCCAGGACAGATTATATCTTGGGTCACAAATCAAGCCTTGGTAAATATAAGAAAACTGAAATCATATCAATTACCTTTTCCGACCACAAGGCTATGAGACTAGATATCAATTACAGGAAAAGATCTGTAAAAAATACAAACACATGGAGGCTGAACAATACACTACTTAATAAACAAGAGATCACTGAAGAAATCAAAAAGGAAATAAAAAAATACCTAGAAACAAATGACAATGAAAACATGATGATCCAAAACCTACGGGATGCAGCAAGAGCAGTTCTAAGAGGGAAGTTTATAGCAATACAATCCTACCTCAAGAAACAAGAAACATCTCAAATAAACAACCTAACCTTACACCTAAAGCAATTAGAGAAAGAAGAACCAAAAAACCCCAAAGTTAACAGAAGGAAAGAAATCATAAAGATCAGATCAGAAATAAATGAAAAAGAAATGAAGGAAACAAGAGCAAAGATCAATAAAACTACAAGATGGTTCTTTGGGAAGATAAACAAAATTGATAAACCATTAGCCAGACTCATCAAGATAAAAAGGGAGAAGACTCACATCAATAGGTTTAGAAATGAAAAAGGAGAAGTAACAACTGACACTGCAGAAATACAAAGGATCATAAGAGATTACTACAAGCAACTCTATGCCAATAAAATAGACAACCTGGAACAAATGGACACAGTCTTAGAAAAGCACAACCTCCCGAGACTGAACCAGGAAGAAATAGAAAATATAAACAGACCAATCACAAGCACTGAAATTGAGATTTTGATTAAAAATCTTCCAACAAACAAAAGCCCAGGACCAGATGGCTTCACAGGTGAATTCTATCAAACATTTAGAGAAGAGCTAACACCTATCCTTCTCGAACTCTTCCAAAATATAGCAGAGGGAGGAACACTCCCAAGCTCATTCTATGAGGTCACCATCACCCCGATACCAAAACCAGACAAAGAGGTCACAAAGAAAGAAAACTACAGGCCAATATCACTGATGAACATAGATGCGAAAATCCTCAACAAAATACTAGCAAACAGAATGCAACAGCACATTAAAAGGATCATACACCATGATCAAGTGGGGTTGATTCCAGGAATGCAAGGATTCTTCAATATACGCAAATCAATCAACGTGATACACCATATAACAAATTGAAGGAGAAAAACCATATGATCATCTCAATAGATGCAGAAAAAGCTTTTGACAAAATTCAACACCCATTTATGATTAAAAAAAAAAATGAGAAAATAGGCATGGAGGGAAATTACCTCAACATAATAAAGGCCATACATGACAAACCCACAGCCAACATTGTTCTCAATGGTGAAAAACTGAAATCATTTCCACTAAGATCAGGAACAAGACAAGTTTGCCCACTCTCACCACTATTATTTAACACAGTTTTGGAAGTTTTAGGCACAGCAATCAGAGAAGAAAAAGAAATAAAAGGAATCCAAATCGGAAAAGAAGAAGTAAAGCTGTCACTGTTTCCCAATGACATGATAGTATACATAGAGAATCCTAAAGATGCTACCAGAAAACTTCTAGAGCTAATCAATGAATCTGGTAAAGTACAGGATACAAAATTAATGCACAGAAATCTCTTGCATTCCTATACACTAATGATGAAAAA